GAAAACCTCACTGGGAACTATGCAATTTTATATTTTAACAATTTTGGAAAATCTTTAATCAGCCTTTACACCAGTGATTTTATAAGCATGGATTGTACTTGAAGTAATTCTCTCAAGAACGAGAACAGTCCTAGAAAAATATCTACAAAGCTAAGTAATGGCAGGGCTTGGACTAAAAAGTTTCTCTACTCGCAGCCCAGAACTCTCAGAACATGAGCATCCTGGGGAAGTTTTACGGGAAGTTCCACATAAGAAGAGACAAGTGACCAACTTAAATGTATATGACATACATAGCTCCTATACAACCTACTTACACATACAAGACTTCTTAAAAATCTTGGAAGAAGTGTTTATGACCATGCAAACTTAATAGCAGTAAAGCTACTGTATTTCTTATTTGAATGTGTATTCACATGTATGTGTCATTGTACAGTAAGGGATGCACTTAGCATCAATAAAATAGGGCTTTGTGCAATCCATTGCCATTACTGGAAGAATAGGAAGGACCAGTGATGAGCAACTTGGGTGGTTAGAATGCCATCCTTGTCGGTGTGTGGTATGTAAATTATAGTCAACCTTAATGCTCTAATTGCTTTGGTTGCAGAGAACCTGAGCCACCACTGCCCATAAAATACCTTTGTGGGGCTTAGGTCTCCCATAGACAAACCACGGGCCCTTGGTGAGGAAAGTCAAAATTTCACCCCTACCTCTACAGATGGCTTATTCAGTGAAGGCGCAATCGAACAGTGTCCTTACACTTATGGGAATATTGTTTGATCTACACAGTAGTTTAAACAGATTGTTTCTGTTAGGTGTCTCTGACAAAGTTATCATGTGTACAACTAATGGGATGAAACATCAGGTCCAGCATCACCCTCAAAGTGATCACCATGTGCAAATCCATGGTGTGGCTTGGGCCAATCCATCTCACCCAGGGTCTCCCAACCCTTTGTTGGCCCTCTCTTTTACCAAAGATGATGTCCTCTCTAGTGATGGATCTCCCCTGATGACCTGTCCAAGCCACGTGAGTCAGTGTTTTGTT